ACAAACATACAAAAGAAGTATAGGAAAATGACAATAGTAAGGATCAGGAAAGAAAAAGCAGCAGTTCCCTGTTGTAGATCAGGCACAGCTATGAGCGTGACATGAGGAATTAGCCCATTTACAATTCTACTATGCTTGAACGAGAAATGTCCCCCCTTTGGGAATGGCCTACCTAAAGACACTACAGTCAGTGGCACTGCCCCGGGGGGTTTCGTTTGTGTGTAGAAAAGCAAATCAACACAACAGTGTTGGAAAAAAGCAAGACAGACAGACAGACAGAAACAATAGGAGGATAGCTTCCTGAGTATTCTGTCGTAAACTGACAAAACATACTTTTTTAAAATTTTGGCGCCAATATTTTTAATTTGCTTTACCGAAAGCCTGATCAGTTATCCTACTTGAGTGAAAAAAAAATCAAATTGAAACCGTGACTAGTTTTTGAAAAAATTAGAATTCAAATTTTGGAATTACTCTATTTTTTAAATGATTACGCTGACAAAAACTCTCTTTTTCTCAAAACTGCTCTGAAGAAAAAAAAGGGCTTTGTCAGGTTACAGCAGTGTTGTAAACCACAGATCCTGTAAAAGCATGTGCAGCTGATTGTTTTCATACATAGAAAGACAGCTAAATTTTCAGTAAGTTTAGAGAAATAAAGGAGAAAGCCTAAATCATGCAGTTGATAAAGTGCCAGTGTGGAGAAGTAGATCAAACTGTGGAACATATCCCTCAGCAATGCAAGACACACAGAGCCCCGAGACAAGAAACGTGGTCAACCCCATTGACACTACAAGAGAAGCTATACGGGCCGACAAAAGAACTGAGCAAGATGGCCCAGAAGATGGTAGAGATACCAGACTTCAAGTATGATGCGATCGAGAAGAAGAAAGAAGAAGATGCCGTTGATTACCTATGTCGTTTCCTCTCCCAACTGTGAATGATATGCCAAAGCCTTGCAAGCCAGACTCAGTTGTGATCGTCACATAAGGACAGGAATAATCAGGGGCTTTGTTCTGTGAAGAAAAACCGGTGAAGGGAAATGACTTCACAAAGTGGAAATCATGCATATTCAGACATTATTATAATAATAATAATAATAATAATAATAATAATAATAATAATAATAATACGACACTAAAAACTGATACAACTAGACTACAACAAAATCTCTTAAAAGATTAGAAAACTGCCAAAGGTTGAAGTCCAATGCAATCAGGAACAAGTGTATGAATTGAATTAATACTATGAATACATCTATTAAAACTTGTAAATAAAATATAGAAATATTTTTTTTTACACATATTATACATATATGAACATTGGGGATAGTTCACAAAATGAAACTGAAATTCTAACAAGCACTGCTTTTGACTGTAATAATCTTGGGTTCAATGGGAAGATTTTTCTACAGCCTTTCTAGCTGAGACAAAAACTCCCAAAATGTCAGATACTGGATTTTTGTTTAGTAGAGGTTTTACGGCACTCGCAACTGCATAAGGCCATATATGAGCGCCAAGGGGTGGATGTCAACAGAAAAGTCCTTACAGAGAATCAGGCTTACTCTGCTCACCTCTCTAGCTTCAACAGCACAAAATCTGCTTCGACTATCAAGGCACCCCGGAAATAGCGGGTCACAAGAGTGTGACAAACGTATAAAAGAAGTAGAGGAAAAATGATGATAGTAAGGATTAGTAAAGAAAAAGAAGCAGTTCCCTGTTGCAGTTCAGGCACAGTTATGAGCACGACATTGATGAATCAGCCCATTTGCAATTACAATTCTACTGTGCATAAGAACATGGTTATATCCCCCATTTGGGAATGGCCTAAAGACACTTCAGTCAGTAGCACCGCTCCGGGGGGTAAAAATGGAATTGACGTGTATAAGATACCAGGTAGCAGTCAGCTCATGATGCGTTGCTACCCACCATAGCATCAGATCCATCACTCTCCAGGGAAGTAGGGAAGCGGATGTCCTGCACAGCGACAGACTTGACTGTGTCAGCCATTCTAAAAAATGTAATCTGTCAAAGGAAGCATGCAAAAATAATAAGAAGACCAAAATTACAACGACTCAGCATAACGAATGAGAGCAGCAAATGTGAACTTGCGTACTTAGATCCCCTGCTTGTACAAAACGCAGGGGTTCAAATTGGTAAGATTGCAAATGTTCACGGCCCTGTTCCCCTCGACACAAGTTTTAAATAATTTCTGAGGTCAGCAGTTTCGGCTCTGCCTGCTAGGGCTAACCTGGGCCACGTGGGAAGAACATCCCTAGCAGACAGATGGAGTGTTACTTCATTAAAAAAACCCTGAAATTGTACGTTCAGTCAAGGAAAAAAGAGAAAAAGAACAAGAAGAGACGGAATACCATCATCTTGAGCGACTCCGTGAGCTTGAAATTGGATGGGGCGCCTGCAGAAGTTCAAGACTTAGTGGGAGGAGCAGAAGGCTATGGAATCAACCATTGCTTGGAACCGTCAACATCTACACACTTCGAGATGTGCTTCTTCAGGGGACGGAGCACTTATGGGAATGCCCTTTGTGCAGTGATGTCGGTCCTTCACACAAGTAAACAAGTTTAAAAAACCTTCCACTCAATACTCATGGTTACCGTGTACGTAGACACTCCGTTATTTCCGAAGGCTCATTTTTTCTACCTGTTGAGTCCACGTATATGTCTCATTAGATCTAGCAATTATTCAGGTTTAAAATATATGCACTGTCAGTAAGGCACCTTTTGGTTTCGTCTCAAATACAAATACTTTACACTAGGTATTGCAAACTAAATAATGAAAACGAAAAAGCAAATAAGTCAGGAGACAAGTGAATGAAAAGGGAAAGGAGGGGGTGTGTCTTTCTGTTTTGTAAAACTTCTTTTGATCCTTTACCATCGAATTACATCCAGAATCTAGATATCTATCCTAAATGGAATTCTACAATTATAATAGTATCAATAACAACAAACCGGAGCAACGAGATAACAAACTGGATAAACAAAAGACGGTCGGTAGATTGCAAGAACTGGGCCTACTTACTACTTCTTTGACAAGGACTATTCAGAGAGAAAATCATCAAAATCACATGACAAGGCGTACGTGAACTTTGAACCTGTACTTGCCAAAACAATACTCTTTTTTGTAATAGGGTAATTTTACTTCTAAATATAGGGCTTTCTTGTATAAGGAGATAGGGAAAACAATATCTTATAGAAATCTCTTCTGTTTTTTGTGCAATTATGGTCCTGCTTCCTGCTTTTCGTGGTGGGTCTCAAAACAACATCATCTGAAAGAATCCCAAAAAAGTAGTGGAGGATAAATCCATATGGAGCAAACTCGAAGCAAATAATTTAATCAGCATCTGGTATGTACCAAATGGTATTAAGCACCCTACCGAAATAAATATTAGGTTACTTTAATCTGATGTTCTTCTTGTTCTTCCGACTGAATGGCCGGTTAAGGTAGACGCATTGCAAAACTTTACTTTCACTTGACTTTTAATTTTAATTTTAGATTAGATTCTAGATCTAGATTCTAGATCTAGATCTAGATCTAGATCATTGCAAAACTTTACTTTCACTTGACTTTTAATTTTAATTTTAGATTAGATTCTAGATTCTAGATCTAGATCTAGATCTAGATCTATATCTAGATCTAGTCTAGAATCTAGACAGTGGATCTATTCTATTCTAGATCTAGATCTAGATCTAAATCTAGATCTAGATATAGAATCTAGTCTATATGTCTAGAGCTATAATCTAGATTAGATTTAAAACTTCAAGCTACTAGAAATCTAGAATCTAGATTATCTAGAATCTAGTAAAATTATAGTAAATTAGGCCTTCCTGAGATTGTTCTCTTTCGACTTCGTCATTCGTTTTAAACTTTTTTACTTTCTTCGACTTCGTCTGTCCATGTCAGGTTAGAGTTAGATCTAGTTTTTTTTTTAATTGATTAAAAGAAATGAACATTCTAAACTTACCCTTTTACTTAGCCTAATATTTTGGCCGGCACTATTTCTCCGAACGTTCGGGAAAATAAAGCTGGGCACTATTTCTCCGAACGTTCGGGAAAATAATTTTTAAATAAAGCTGGG